GCAGCTCCAAGAGAGCAGAAGCCACAATCTAGGCGAGGTACGGGTGTGTATTTGGGGGAAGTGATGGAGCGAAGAGGTAGGCAGGCATTCTCCTGGCCCCGGGGCCCACAAGGAAGAAGAGGTCAAGCATCAGGAAGACAGGAGGCCACTTGTTATCTCAGGGACTCAGAGGCAAATCTGGTTTGTCATCCATTCTGTGAACCAGCTCTTTTGTAACCCAACAAACAGGCCTAAGAGCTATCTCTGAAGCTGAATTATAAGTAAATACTGTAAATCAAGATGAAGTTCATGCCAAGCCTGCAACATCAGAAAAAAAAAGCAATGGTGGGCTCAAAGAAGCTGAGCAAAAACAAGACTGAATGGGAAGAGACATACATGGCTGTATATCCATCCCTCTGTGTACATGCTGATGGTATACTAGATGCAGGAGTCTGTGGGACAGTCTTAGTTCAAGCTACTGTGTCACTGGAGGCTTGCCATGTCTCCAGGCTAATGAAAACAGTCCCCTCCATGACCCGATAATGTAGGGTCTGACAAATGTCGCTGAGGTCCATATGCAATTTCATTATTATTCTGGGGCCCTCCTATGAGTTTGAGGCACCTCATTACAGATTTTAAAGATGCCAAACCATTGACTTGGATTTGTGGGGGACAGGGTGTCTTTTGGGGACCTTCTAGCGGAGTGACACAGATATGACGTCTCAAACCTTTGTGAGATAAGATGTTTTTTATAAAAAGCAACTGTGTTGATGACATGGATTCTGAGTCAGTTGCTTTATTTCTCCAGCTCAAGATTCCCTGCCCTCTTTGGGAAAAAAAAGTTCATGTGGAGTAGCTTAGTCAACTAAAGGCTGGTGAACATAGAAGCATCTAGAGGGACACTCCCTCCAAAGGCCTCTGAATTTCTCCCCATGCACCCAGAAGTTTAAGCTGCAAGCCCCCCCCCCAATTTTAAAGCAATGACAGGAGCGACATCTTGTTGCAGGTGCTCCGGTGTGTTCTCATATCCCCAGCTTGGGTACAATGCTAACCAGTGGAGCAGGCACTATACAGATACTTGTGAAAGGAAGACCGGGGGAAACAGGCAATGCCCGAAAGTCCCTTCTATTTCATGAGTTCAGTAGCGAATCCCTTGCTTGGAATCACTTCTTATTTCTCAGATAGGTGCGAACTGAATGAAGGTTAAGTCTGGGAAGTAGCCAAGACCAGCAGCTTAGCTGTAGGGATAAATTAAAATATGTGTACCTCCTCTTTGGTTCATTTTTCTGCCTTCTTAGTGTACTGAATGCCAGGGAGACTGTAGTCGTGGATCAGGGAGCAGAATGGTCTTGAAGGGACAAGGGGAATGGAAATTGGAGAAAGGGATTTTTGAAAGAAGCAAATTAACAGGGAACACCAACGTGCATTGCAATAGTTGAGTCCCCAGTTCATTTTTAATCAAATGCTGCCTAAACTCAGAAGCATCTTTGATTAGCCCTCTGGTGTCCACCATAACTCACACACACAATTCTGTATCTTTGCTAAAGTCAGTCTTCTGGCTAAAGTTAAGCATATGGCAACATTCAAATCAGTATTTACGGTACCTAAGTAACTTTAGTGAAGTATGTCACCACTCTGGGTCACTTCTCTGCCTACGTGAATACATGCCACAATTGTGTTCCTTCTCACTCAGCTGCTTCACACTAACCTCGGGATCTGTAGCCCATCCCAACAGTAAATGGCATGCTCTTGTCTGTTTTGTTGGGGTTTTTTTTTCTTTCTCAGATGCAGTCCAGGGCTAGCAGAATCTACTGCATTGATCGAAGAATCCCGGGGAACCCATCTCCTTTCCCAGCACCTTGAGCTGTTTGTAATGGCCTTTTTCTTGGACACTTTGCCTTTATTCTGCTGGGAGGGTCCCAAACCTTGGCACCTCTCACTCCCCCAGGTGCTCCCTGGGTTTCATGCTTTCAAAGGGCCTGTTGCTACCTCTCCAGTCCACCTGCTGGCTCTCTGACCCAACCGCAAGATCAACATCAGTATGGCTCAGGAGGCCATGGGCATCTGCCAAAATTTTTCTGTTTTCCCATTCTGCTTCACTATTCTCTGGTTCCGTGGGCTCCCTTTTTTTTTTCCAGTTTGGAGACCTCCAAAGCTAACATCACACACACACACACACACACACACACACACACACACACACACGAAGCAAGGAAGAGCCACAGAATGTAAACAACTAGAATTCCTTTCCAAAGACTCACTGAAGGTAGTCACCTGATCCCAGGAAGGACCCACAGTCTATTTAAGTCCATGAGACTAAAAAAGACTGTGTAACTCACTTCTGACTCCCCTACCCCCACACCAGGGGGCTTGCTCCTGCTCACTCTTCCCAAACCAGCTGGGCACAGAGGACAGTATCTTATTTGGGTTGGATTTAAAAAAAAATTAAAAGCAGAGTCAAGAGTTTATGAAAATAAATATCGGTATAGATTGTAAGCACAAGAGAAAGGGGTGCTGAAGAAAAAACGTGTCCAGAGCATGAATGTAGGCTTCTGAAAGGGAAGCCACCTCAAGTTCTTTTTAGTTATTTTTTCTTAAACAGAAACATATATACTTAACATTGCCACCCATGCGGGTGCTTGGATATAACACAGGCATGTGTGTAAGTGCACACACAGATAGGTAATTGGCCTTGGGGGGGGGGTGGGGGTGGGGAAGGCATTCCAATGCTCTTTATAATACTGAAATCTTTATCTTCATTTCCCAATGCTGGCTGTAAGCCACTAAATTGATTTCACAACCCACTAATGGTTCGTGCCCTACAGTATAAACAACACTGCAGTATGAGATAGGTGGTGTGTGCTTTATCGGGCCCTGCCCCCTGGGCAGCCCTTTTATTCTCCAAGGGAGATGGAGGAGAGCTCCAAGCCTGAAATGATCCACGATACCATCTCTCTCCACGTCAGGGCCTTTGGGAGTAGGGGTGCTCTGTCATGCAGGGGATTCTTGTGCCCAACAGAGGCTCACAGAGGGCTCGGGCTGCATCCTCCCGCTCCACGGCGCTCTCTCCTCCTCCCATCCAGCTCCTCCCATTGATGGAAATTGTTAGGTGACTGGGGCCTGACAGGGTAGAGAAGAGAAGTGGGTAGGCAGGAAAAAAGTCAGTGCATGGTGAAGGAAGGCCAGCCCTTCTCAGTTTCCATTTGAAGCTGGTACTGTTCTCCAGCCTCGGGATGAGGGCTGACTGGCACCACCGCCCAGGCAGGCCTGGGCATAGCCTCTCCTCATCTTCCCACTGTCATGCAAGGGAACCATCTTGCAAATCACATACCACTTTTTCCCACCCAGAAAACTCCTGTCCAAAAGAGGGACTACCCTTGGCCCTGAGAATCCAGTGAGAGGTGGGCTGCCACCTTCACCCTGAAGGACTGAAGTTAAGTACAGGCACTGGGAACTACTGAAGAAGGAAAATCTGTACTTGTTCTGGTCTGCCCTGGCACCCTGCTGCCATCTGGGTAAGCAGAATAGGAGAGGGCTAGCCCCCTCTCCCCTGCCCCCCCCACTTCCCAAAGCTGTCCAGGCACAGGCGCTCATGCACACACATACTTTCTTCCCTCTGTCCCGATCTGGAGAATGGAAGTCCCTGTATTATTGCGCAACAGTCACTCCACTTAAATGTGTGGCATTTGTCTTGTGTATTCCTTTCTTCTTTCCAGATGACCTGCAACTGGGTTCTCTGGCCACTCACGATATCCTTAAAACTGGAGTGTCGGAGATTCCACAGGCCACTCTAGGTCCAGCATATTTACCCTGGTATTCCTTGATCTTTGGGTCCAGACGTTCCCCGCAGAGCAAAAGGGTCCACACACCCCCTCACTCTCTCCTCCCCTCTCTCGGCATCTCTGCGCTCACATCCTCTCGGCCAGCTGTTTCTCCAGTGCAGAGGTGACCTGTGTGGGACTGTGCCTGGATTGTTAGGATTCCCCCAGGTCTGCGGCTGAAGTTCATGGGAGCACAGGCTCCAGACCCTCTGTTCAAAGCTAAAGCTTCAAAGAACTGTGAAACACAAGCCATGCCCACAAGGAATTTACAGTGTCTTTGGAGAGAAGGGTGGACAGAAGCAGGCAAGATTGCAAGGGAGGAAACAGACCGGGGTTCGTGAGTCTGGGAAGGCAGTCACTGGCCTGTGGGAGGAATCTGAGCAAAATGCCAGAAGCATTACTTCTGGCAATAGAGATAACATTCCAAAGTATATAATAGGAGGCGAGAATGTACAGGAAGGGCTCAGAACCAACTGCAGACACTTCCAGACAGGGAACGGAAGGTGTCTGGGGAAGAAGATGGGAGGCCCAAAGCACAAGGAAAATGGGTATAGCCCTTCACCGCAAGAAAGAGAGTCTGGACTTGAATCTGTGAGCAATGGGAAGCAATTTAGAGACTTCCTAAGCAGGGAGAGAATGGATACTAAGTGGTGGGCCGCCAAGGGGAGAATGGATTGTCAGGTCCATGGAAAGGACTGGAAGGGTTGAGCCTGGAGGCTGAGGTGAGTCAGAACTCGGCTCAAGAGAGGGACTTGCTTTGTTGAATAAGGGTCATGTTAGGGTCAAAGGTGACACTCAGGTTTCCCAGGTTGGGAGAACTGAATACCACATTGCAATGAGGGAGAGGGCAGTATTTGAAAGTGGAACCCAAAGAGGTTCTTTGCATGACTCTTCACCGTGTCATTTAGCTGAAGTCCTAGCCAAAGATTGATGAGTGCATCTACTGTTTACCCACCACCCACACTCAACTAACTCCCCGTCTGTTTAGGCATCAGAGAATCTGCTTCCGGGACCTGAGCGTCATTCTTCCCTTTCCTGATGGGTTCTTCCAGGCCACCTAAGTACTAGTGTGGGGTCTACGCCGTAGCCTGCAAGAGGTTCTCAAGGCAGCTGTAGACCAGCTGGCCATGAGCTGACTTTGTTCTTGGAGAATTCCATCTCCCACTCCCCCTCCTCTCCCATGAGAGGCAGGAAACCTACTGGCTTTTCTTCTCTGGGTTTAGCTTGAACTCCTTACTGGTCGGGACACTGGGAGCATCATTGGGAGATGGCTGCAAAAAAAAAAAAAAAAAAAAAGTATGTGTCCAGGAAAAAGGCCAGCCATGTTTGTCTAATCTATTTACTTTTAGCCCCTTTTCACCTTCAAAGCCAGTCTACCTTTTTCCAGAGACCTAGATGTTTCTCTTGGTACCTGAACCCAGCCATTTGCCCCTGGGGTTCAATTCTTGTTCACAAAGTGAGGTTCTTTCCTGCCTCTCCTCTTGACACTGCCAGAGCACCCAAGGGCCTCCCGCTTCTGGAGTGGCACCCAAGCTAAGCAGCGAGGATTCCTGTCTGGAACTCTGGGTCCTGGTGCCACCTCTGCGGGGGACTAGGCTTTGGGGTCCCTGGCAGGTGTGAGAAAGCACATGGAATGAGCAGCTCTAGAAGCTGACCCTGGAGATGTCAAACTCGACCTGTGGGGCTCCCCCAGCCAGCCAGCCAGCCGAGTGGGAGGCAGCCCAGCAGGAAGTAAGCCCAGAGCCAGGACATGGGCTTTTGTTTGGTCTTGATAGCAGTCCCCAAGCTATAAAGATTGACTTCCCTGTTGGTGATACTATGACTCAAGTCCCTTCTGCCAGGGGCTTCTCTGTTGAAAGTCACTTTTCCTAGCCATTGTAGACTAGGACAAACAGGGCACAAGGATTAACACCTGGGATAGATGTTCACTGGACCTGATCTCAGCAGGCCAGAGGCACTGGCGATGGACCGCAGAGGCCCCTGAAGGCCTCGGCTGCTTGGGATATAAAACCATGATCTTTGGATAGGGTGGGCTGCAGATGACTGTTGAGCTCTTGTGAGCCATCCCCTGAAGACTGTCAGCTTTTTCTTCTTGCAACACTTGTCCTATGTCCTAAGTGCCAAGCTTCAGTGCAGCCCAGCTCCAGCATCCTGAGTGGCAGCGAGGGCACACGCTTAGAGAGCTCAGTGTTTCTAATGGCTATATGGTCCTGACAAAAGGAACAAATTGCAGGGCCCACTGTCAGACACGGAGTAGTTGGAGGGATATAGGCACAGAAGCAACAGCCTAAAGTATGTGGCATTCCCGCCTGGGCTGGAACCAAGTCCAGGTCGATGCCTTTTCCCCTCATCAGCATAAACTGATACACTTGAATCTACCCTCAAACTCAGTGGGGAGAGAAAACAATGTCTTGGTTCAACCCCATCTGGTCCTATGTTAGCTTTCCATTGCTGTGACAAAATGCCCAAGAAAAACAGGTTAAAGGAAAACAGGTTTAATCGGCTCACGGTTTCCAAGGTTTTGGTCTATGGTCACTTGGCCCCATCCCTGTGGGCTTGTGGTGAGGCAGAACATTATGGCACACAATATGTAGAAGAATGAAGCTACTCAACTCATAGTATCCAGGGAGCAGAAAAAGAGGAGCTGGGGTCAACACGTGGACTTTCCCAGGGCATGCCCCCGAGGACCTTCAAATAGGTCCTGCCATCCAAGCACTTAGCAATAGCCCACCAACTTATGGGCCCATCAGTAGAGTAATCCATTGAATCAGAACCCAAAGCCCATCAGTTGGTCACAAGCCTACACATGGCCTTTGAGGGACATTTTAGATCCAAACCCTAACACACCACGCCCTTCTGGCTTGCATTGGTTGCTCTATAGAGTCCTCTGTGTGTGTGTGTTTATGGTTTTTTTTTTTTTGGATTCAAGATGATTGGAGAATATATTCAGGGAATTAACAGCGCATGCTGTTTTATGATGGACAGTGTATATTGGCTCCAACCTTATCTGAGCATCTCTCCCCTGTCGATGTAAGCGGTGGGGCACACCACGCTGTGAAGACTAGGGGAAGACATGAGAGGCAGTGTCAGAAGTGTCTGTTGATTGGTGCTGGCCCTCGCCCCGAGTCTCCTGGCCGGTGTCAGTCTCTCCCAAGCTTTTCTCTTTGCCGTTCTCATCTCATCCAGCTCCCATCTGTGGGGGATCTTTATAAGTCACTCAGCGCCACTCACCCAAGGCTCAGGCAACCCTCTCATCCCTTCCTCCTGATGGACCTCAGCCAACCAATAATAACAGAGGATACATGGAAACAATGTAAAACCAGCCAAGAATGTGGGTCTTGGCCCAGGGTTGGTAGAAGCTTCCAAAAATGGAAAAACTATACACACATTTTACTTCTGGCGTGAGTTTTCCCAGAGTCCCTTTTCACCAGGTATGGTCCCAAAGGGAAGAGAGGTTAAGTCCTCCCCAAGAGTTAAGTCCCATGCTGTGTCCAGTTGGCAATCTGGGTACCCTTATTTGTGATTTCAACTGAAAACAGCCAAACTTAATTGTAGGCTAAATAAACACAGGGTAGATCTAAATGGGCTTTGACTCCAGGTTACCCTCAGCCAAATCTGGCTCTGCAAGCAAGCACCCACCTCTCCCAGGATGCAGAAAGATGCATCTCTGGGCACGGTTCTGGCTTTGCACTGAACACACCTTCCCCAGGGAGAGTTCTCGAGAAGTCCCTCATTTGACCACAAAGTTTGACTGCCAGGAGTTTGATTCAAACAAGCCTTGATTTGGGTGGGCTCCTCCCTGTGAGGAAGGACCAAGGTTCTGGCAGATACTCTCTTGCTATTGGGCTTTAATCTGCCACGTGGTGGCGCTGTTGAGCACTGATCGCCGCCCCGCCCCATCCCCCCACCCCCAGGTCCGCCGACTCCCTTGCTGGCCTTGTTTCATAAAAAAAAGAAAAAGAAAAAGGAAGGCCCACAGGGACAAAGGCAGTGGGTACTCCACACACAGCTCCAGAGCGAATTCAAGATCCACACGTGTGTCGTGTGCATGAGCCAGGAGTTGCTTTCCACCCCCTCCACACACACTCTGTATAGGAGCCTCATTCATGCTTACATTCCAGAAGACTCCATCCTTCCATTGTGAGGTACTGCTCTGCGCCTTAATTTGGTCCACTCCTGACCCACCTCAGAAAGCCAAGGTTGGTCACTGGCAGCTAGCTCCTGTGCCATTAGGCTCGCTCCTAGCATTTGTGTAATTAATTGGTTTGGCTTGCCGACGACTTGAGGCAGGTCAGACTAGGTTCTGGAACGTCCATGAGCGCTTACACGCTACTTAAGAAGAGTGAATTGTTTAAGGGAGGCAGGGAGGGGACTAGCTTCTCAGTTTTTTGTTTTTTGTTTTTTAACTAAAACCAGTGGTACTTATTCCTTCTGTATTTGCTTGGGGGCCATGATTCCTGCTTGGGGAATATGGTCACCCTATGATGATCTTCAGTTTAGCCTGCATATTTCACTAAGGGGTTATCAAGCCAAATCTAACCAGACTTCTGTGAGATTTTACCAATGCAGCGAAGCCCTCCATGTTTGGAGTTTGGAAGAATACTTTCCCCTGGACTGCTATTCTAGAAACAGAATCTCAACAGAAACTCCATCAACCTTCAACCCTCTAATTCATAAGTAGCAATTGTAATGTTCGATGTGGCATACATAGTATAAGAAAATACTAACCTCATTCCTACCCTGGGGCCAGGATCATATAGATCATCTCAAGTTTGCCCCTGTTCATCACTTTCTTGCATGTTTGCAGTATGTAATTGGGATAGTTAGAAGTTTAGATAGATCTAGCTGTACTGGCCCATATTCCTTCATGGCAGACCCTCAACCGAAATCTCCAGACTTCTTCCCTAGCTGCCCAACAAGTCGTTGGTTCTTCTAATCACACTTCTTACAGCTGAGTTCTGGAGAACTGTTGAGTTACCAGTCTTCAGTCAAAAGAAAAAAAAAAGACCTCTGTTAAAGGCCACTTCTTATCAGGTTATTATCTATAAATTTCTCTTAGCCATAAAAGCAAGTCTTTGTTGAAGAACAAGGGTTTATTGCATTAGACCTGGTTGAGATAATTTGGGGAGGATAGAAGAGGGGGCACTGGCCAGTTGACACTTTCATGGTTTAAAGCCTACTCATTTGACATGAACAGTTATTTTCCAACTTTAGCAAGTCCAAAATTTCAAAGGTATAAGAAATGACTTTTCTTGGTTACACTTAAACAAAACAGAGCTGTCTTGGCTGATGTCATACACTGGAAACCAAGGGGAGTTTTTTGGGGACACCATCAGGCTGAGTCACTTATATTGCATGTCAATGGTCTGAGTTGCTTATATTGAGTTAGACATGCTTTGAAACATGCTGAAAAAATTGGCTCAAGTCCCTTTCTCAGGGTATGTAGGAAATCTCTATCCTAACAAAACAAGATACACAGGCATTGTCTTTCAGCAGATAAGAATACCTACTGCATAAATGTGAGTGCACTCTGATAGCCATTCATGTCTGCTTGCAACACTTTTAGACAAGGCTGGTACACAGAGAATTTATAGCCCCTTCTGTGCTGGTGTGGTAGGTTCCCCATATCTGCAGGAACATGTTCCAAGATTCCCAGTGATGCCTGAAAATGGAAATAGTATCAGACCTTAAGTAAGAGTGCATATTTCTTATATATACAATAAACTCTAGCTTGAAATTAGGCACAGTAAGAGATGAACAAGTGAGTATAACAATTTCTTGTGATATGTCAGTATCAACAGTGTCATGTCTTCTGACTGCCACCAACGTGAGAGTTACCTGAACTCAAGCAATAGGCTGTCAGTAGCTTATTGCAATGACCGTGGATCTGAAGAACAAGACACAGTACTGACTACTAGCAGGAGGGACAAAGTGATGACTGACAGTCAGGACAACTGGAGGACTGCAGTACAAGATTTTATCGTACTACTCAGAATAGTACATCATAAACTTGTTCAGAGACTGCTCAGTTAATATTTTAGGGTGGCCAGTTGACCTCTGTGACCTGGGGCACATGGAAAGGAAAACCATAAACGGGGAACGGAACAGTGTGGCATGACTTCACTGCCATGATCATGATGCACTTGAGTGGGCAAGACGCTACTTCTAACATAAGTCAGCTGCTACGCCCGTACCTCAGCTGCTACGCCCATACCTCAGCTGCTACGCCCATACCTCAGCTGCTATGCCCATAGCGTGTACTGGCGGTTATTTACTAGGGTGACATTTTGGAAATAATGTGTTTTTTGAAGGACCCAGGAAACCACTTTTCAGGGTGATTTTTAGAAATGTAGGCTGGGAAGACATCTGGCTAGGCCCGTTTTTCCAAATGATCCAGGCTAGAAGAAAAAGCATAGTCAGCAAGTATGTTGGGGTTTGCGCAGGGGACGTTGAGATGTTGTGCTGGGTTTGGAGGGTTTGGGTAGAAATTTTAAATACAGATTATATATATTCATGAGGTACATGGTGCCACTATAATATGTATATTGTTGGTTGAAACTGAACTATGTCTGCTTCAAAATTGGCAGACCAGGTATGGCAGTAATGTCTAGAATGGAGTGCCATAGCATTCCCACGGCTGGGCAGCCAGTCAGTCCTCAGAGAAGTTCCAGACCAGTTGAGGCTACACAGCAAGACCCTGTCTCAAAAAAAAAATGACTGCTTTCACAGTATGCTTTCAATTACAGAAATTTGTACTCCCCAAAGGACATATTTTCATAATCTTATGTCATATTTCTAGATAATAAAGGATTGTTCCACAATCGTGCTTACAACACACTGCTCAAAGAAAGTTTTAACCCTGGCTTTGCTGAAATACTTGTTCATTTGCCCTTTGAACACTATTCTTGAGGCCCCAGAGACCTTTTTCAAGGGAAGATTTTGAGGCAGGGAGACGATTTGCAGTCCTCTTGTCGTGTCCTCTTCCTGCATCATGGCCTCCCCACTAAGGGCTGCCCTGGCGTCTTCCTGTTTCCAGCCACTAAGTCTGTTATAGAACAAAAGCAAGTAAGACCAAAAGAGTGAGTGGGAGCTGTGGCAGCTGACACTGAGCCACTGAGAGTCTGGTCCTGAAGATGCTGAGAGCATCCCTGGACCATCCGGCCCATCTCACAGAACCCCCACGCTTTGCTTTAAAGGTGATTGCTTTTAAATGCTCAAGATGCTTGAACACAGATCCCCTTTTATTCATCCCTCCACGTGTCTCAGAAGGTTTATGCACCCCAACCAGCAGCTAGGAACCATCTCCTAGATGAAAGGTACTGTGACAGTGATGTTGAAAAGTTGCACAAGGGTTTGTTTTTAGTGATTTCCTACCAAGGTTCCAGAAGTATGGGCCCTACCTGCCTATGTATGCTTTTCTTTGCCCCGGGCTCTAGCAACCCATGTCCTTGCTGCTATTCCAATAGGGCTTCCTGCTCCAGTGCTACGCATTGGGATGACTGTTCTCAGCTACCACGGACTCACTGGGCACAGAAGAGTAGAACACTCCAGGTCGTCCTAGGCATCTGGTGCTCCAAAGTGGCAGTTGAAACTTCTCAGCCCCGTTCTTAATTTGAGAAGTAAAGGAAAAAGGACTTGGAAATCCTCTAAAGCTGTGTGAGATTTTCATGTTCAACCCAACTACTCAAAAAGTGTTGAAAGAATGGGGCCACACACTAACTTGCTTTGAAATTCTGTAAGAGGAAAAAAAGTATGTGATATCTGCAGACATGCCACAGGTTTGCCGATAAGCGGGATTAATAAGGGATTACAAACTGAGCCTGGAGACTCACATCTGTAATCACAGCACTCAGATGGCAGAGGCAGGAAGCAGAGCAAGAGGCAGCCTGGGCTATAGAGAAAGACTCTGTCTCAGAAGGAAGGAAGGAAGAAAGGAAGGAAGGAAGGAAGGAAGGAAGGAAGGAAGGAAGGAAGGAAGGAAAAATAAAGGAAGAAAAAAGAGGTGTGACAAGAGAGAAAGAGAAGGGGAGAGAGAATTAGAAATAGGAATATGGTCAGATACAAAATAAACATCAAAATCTCCAAAATCAGTATTTTAATTTTATATATATATGAGAGAGAGAGGTGCGTATGCACTCCTACATATATAAATACAACCAGCTCAGTCTGTATAATGCTAATGTATGTATATGATTTCAGGCCTTACCACTTGGCTGTCTGTAGTCCTTTGTGTAGTGCTGAGGCCATCATAGCTGTCGGTGTTGTCCTTGTTTGGGTCTTGTCTAGGCAGCCATGTTGATGAGACTCCATGGGTGTAGCTTGTCTAACATTTGTAGGTGACACGGTCTCAAGGCAAACTCCCTGGCCTCCTGGCTCTCACAGTCTCCCTGGCCCCTCTTCCACGAGGATCCTGAGCTGTCATAGACTTATCAGTTGGCACTAGGCACTAGTTTTGTTTGTTTCTGTAGCTGTGATAAGATGCCCTTTCAAAAAGAGAAAAAAATTGGACAAACGATTCATTCTGACTGACAGTTCGAGGGTACAATCATCATCGGAAGGCAGTCCTGGCAGCTGGAGCACCAAGCAGCTGGTCCCATTGCCATCATGAAGCAGAGTGTAGATGCTGGTGCTCAGCTAGCTTCCCCTTTTACACAGCCTAAGACGCAATCTCAGGGGATGGTGCTGCCCTCCTTTTGGGTAGGCTTTCCCACTTAGCTAATTAATCAATCAAAATAATCCCTCCCAGAGGCTAATGTAATCTAAATCATCCCTCCTATATGATTCTAGACCCTGTCACACTGAAAACCCACACTAGCTATCACAATCTTGAAGTGTTTCTCCGCCTTTTCCTCTAACAGTTTCAAAGTTTTGGAAGTGAGAACATGTTATAGCTAGTAGTTACATATTCATGGCTGACCAGCTGAAGTGGGATGGCCACTGGGAAGGAGGAACTTGTGGCCCAGAGAAGCAGGCTTGTCTTATAGCTCCAACCAGACTTTAGCATCATCCAAATCCTCAGCCAGCCCGCCCTTGCTCCACTAAGAATGCCTCTTCCAAAACGGGTGCTCTGGGGACTCACTCACCATGTCAAACACTTAGAGTGACACAGCTAGGAAGAGTCCCCACCCCATCCTTTCCTCTGCTCCCTCATCTGGGTCTCTCACTAGCGTGTCCCTACATCCATCCCCTGTGACAGTCAGATACAGCCATGCTCCCAGCCTGCCCATGGGGACATAAAAGAGCAAACCATTTGGGAAGCTATAAATAATGGAGTTATGATGCTCCATCATGCAGTAGAATGTTGGTGTGGTCTGGGAAGAGACTCAGCTAGGAAAACACAGGAATTACAATCTTAAGTAGATGATGAGAGACAAATGCATCAGTGGTATGGCGTCCATTTTTACAAACTATCAAATAAAATAGATATACACACGGGGGGGGGAAGGATGAACAGATGTTCCATCAAGGTTTGTAGAATGACTGTCTCTCTCCTTCAATAGAATAATGGGTTTATTTTCTCCATTTTTCATGCTCTCTGCAAAAGAAAAATGTATATTTTTCCTCCTCAAATGTTGGGGGGGGAGTTAAAATCTAAGACACAATTTGTTGCCACAAGAAGCAGAAGCACAGAGAAAGTCCAGTGTAGACAGAGGTGGCCTTAATGGGCTGGGAGAGGACAGAGACAGCCCCACCTGGATTGGAGGGCAAGAGAGTGGTGAGGGGACAGGACGGGAACTGGTACACACAGGGCATGAGCTGAAGAGGAGGAAGGGCTGCGAGAAAAGTCAGAGAACAGCAAAGTGGAAGAGTGGAGAGCCTCAGTGCCCAATCACAGTCCGTAAGAGACGGTGAAGCTTGAGAAGCGCCTGCGTTCTCTATGGACTCTGATTCCTGAGGTCAATGTTCACCCAGAGAAATGCTCACACACCTTGCCAGCCAGTACTCTGGATCTTAGCTGCCCTGTAACCTTCCCACACGGACATCTGCCAGAGAGCTTCAGTGGCCAAGGGTCCCAGCAAACACAGCCACAGCCACCGCACCATCCCCAGCCCTTCTGATCCAGGAAAAGCAGGTGTCCTTTAGAGTAGCTACCGCTTTGGGTATATAGCTCTTTTCTTTTGAGCCACCTAGTTCCCCATTCTAAAGGGAGACGTTTGGGAAAGGTCCTGCTTGCTTGGTCTATACATAGGTTACTTGTTCCAAGAAGGTAATGTATACCAAATATTCAGTGATGCTCAGGTGTCCTGGGACACAGGAACCATGAGACACGTCTTTGGTTGGGGGGTCGAGTTGTGATGGAGTTTATGCAGATGTGGCCCTTCATGGGAGTCTCTTTGGTTACAAGCACACCTCACTCTCAAGCCAGAGAGGGACCTGTCCCTGTCCCTCCCCATCAGTTCTTGCTGTGAACTGGAGAGACCTCTGCTACCAAGGATGAACACATTAAAAAAAAAAAAAAAAAGGAAAGGAAACCCAAAAAAAAATCTCCCCTGCCCTTAAAAAAGATGGAAAGGGGTACTTTTGGGCATAAACCCAGGCATGTTAGCTTTGGGAAACTATGACATTCTAAAGATGTTACCATTGGAAGAACAACAAAGAAGCCCTGGAGTTTAGACACAGAAGGAGGGCCCTCCATGCTACCAGGTCTCCCCCGAGTTGCTGTTTGGATTCTTAGGGATTTCAGAAAAGCCCATCTCCCTCATATTTCCTTTTTTACTTCTGTAACTTAAAGCAAATCACACCGGCCACTCTTGGACACAAGTCACATGAAACCATACGACTCCAGCTGCTATTCCAGGGGACACCCCCACTTCTTCAGTAAACACCAGCCTCCTGAGGTCCTCTTGACGAAGTCTTCTGGCCAATGAGAAGCTAGCTGTCCTGCCAAGAAGAGCATCGGAGATAGTGGATTTGGGTCTCTCTCTCTCTCTCTCTCTCTGTCTGTCTGTCTGTCTGTCTCTCTCTCTCTCTCTCTCTCTCTCTCTCTCTCTCTCTCTCTCTCTCTCATCCACCCTGTCCTGCCCAACCCAGTCTCCCTCACATCCTGACTGGTTGAGGGTGTTGGGGAAAGCAGCCTGGAAAGGCAAAGTGTTGGACACAGGATGATAGGCGCAGGCTCTCACTCATCTTTCTTCTTCCTGACTGAGGCAGGCGTGGCTTCTTCCAGTCTCAGGGGTCCTCAGAGATGGGGGAGGGGCGGTGCAAGGGCAGTCTTATGCATCTCATTCACACTTAAATGAGTAAACTGCCCAAAGGTCAGTCTTCTCAGGTGCCTTTTATCAAAGGATCTACTGCAAAAACTAGGTCAGAGCACATAGGTCAGCTCTGGAACCCAGAATCTGGGTCAAAAAAGCTCGAACTTCAAGGAGTTGAGGAGTCCATGTACATCCAGTAGAAGCAGGGACAAAAAGGTTCAACCTCTTTTTCCCACATCACCCAGCATCACTCCAGGACTACTTGGGATCTACCAGATGCTCTGGTAGAATCAAGTTTTTTAAAACTGAACATCATTATTTAAAAATAATAATAAAAGCATGTTGTGTGAGTGCATCATGTACCCTTGGCATGCCTAGAGATTAAAAAAAACACAAATGGGAGTTTCCCCAGGCAGGACTTCATCTACCGTGTGTACTATCACCCTAGCGTTGCCCGAGACCCACTAAATGATCTGACACAGCTTGCCTGTGGAAGGACAGGAGTGGTGGTCCTTGGGTGACCCAGTGCCCTGGCAGTCTCTTCTTAGGTGTTAGAAATCACCTGAGGTGGCATAGGCTCATGAAGGACTTCCCTCCAGCTGGTTCTCTGTGCTGGATCATAACAAACACCCAGAACTCTGGCAGAAGCCCTATAGAAACAGAGCCAAACGTGGACAACCTTGTGCTGGCATGGAGACTGGCCAGACCCAGGCTGAGCGGTCTCAGCAGAGCCCACCCTACAGGCATCACTCCAGAAGCTCACCGTCATCTCCCTACCACTCACCTCTGCATACTTTCTGTCACTTTTTAGGTAGAGGCCAAATGTTAAGGTCTCTGGTCAAAGGGTGTGGGCAGTGGTGCTCATGGCAAAGATGATGAGGGGGGAGTTTCCAGGGCAAATTGTTACAGGAAAAGCAGACACTTTTCTCATCCCTGGATCTCATCTATGTCCAAAGCCAAATTGCCCAGTACGAACTGTACCGTTGAAGCCTCTCCCATGAAACCCTTTGTCTTCTTGCTGAATAAACACATTTTAGCCCCCACAGGTCAGTCAATCAAGGAGACCTAAGATCCCACAGGTCACTACATTTCAAACTGAAGAGGGCTCCTGAGGCATTTCTTGTGGGGCTGGAATTGACGGGTAGCTGGGAGTCCTTTCAGTCCCAGCTCGCAGAGGGCAAAGCTGAGATCCTCTGATGCCCAAGAACTAGGGGACCCCCGTACCCAGCCCACCCTCTACCTTTCCCAAGACAAGTCTGGAAACTTCCAAAGGCATGAAGCTGGGGGAGTTGGGGCCCTGAGCTCTTCATTTGCCTTGCCTCACCTTGCCTGGTTGTTTGTTCCAGGTTGTTCTATTGACTGAGCCAAGTGTTTCCAGGAATATCACCGCAGGCTCCTAGCACTCTGGCATTGCCAGACTCTGAGCGGTCCTGGTACTGCTGGTTCCAGGTCTGGAACCCTTTCTTTTCTTGTTTCCTTGTTCTCTCCTCTTGCCCCTTTTGTTCCAAACTACCTGCGACACATGCAGGACATGGATTTTATCAGTCTGTACTCACCAAGTAATACATTCGCCCACATCTCAGGCTCAAAACACCACAGCCCCCTGGGTTCACATAAGGCCACCATCTACAGATGTGTTCAGGTCTGGGAGGAAAACAGGAGAAGCAAACGGGATTAAACAGGCACATTACCCATCACGTACAAAAGCCCCAGTGTCTCACTGGGTAGACATGAGTAATTGGGGAAAATACACACAACAATCCAAGCAATGGATAAGCACCTACAAGATGAAGTGGGTATCTGGAATGAGCTCCACAGGCAGATGGAATGATAGGTCCAATGGCAGTGGCAGGAGTATACAAGTTAAAGAGACCTAAGATACCAGAAGGTCAGACAGAAAGACTGGAACAAGAAAGGGGAGGAGGAGATGTGGGGAAGTTGGTCCAGCCAAACCACGGAAAAAACAAAAAAGACAGTTCATGAAACAGGCAATTAAGGTTCATGGAGGCCTTCTAAAAACATGTATGGATTGATGCTGGCTTTTCTCCGAAATCACACACACCACACAATGCTTCTAGAAATGCAAATGTTACAAGCAGCAATAGTGACTAGAGTGGAGACCCTGTCATGCTGTTGGTGACATTGGTGACGCAGCTCAGCTTCGTATGGCTGAGAAGAACGAAGACCTGCAGGTGGCGCCACCCCTGCTTCCTGCAGCCACAGAGAACAGACAGCCTCCGCACCCCTGCTCCCTGCCTTCTCAGTCTTTGTCAAAGGAAAAACAGAGTGTGCTTAGAAGACGGGGGTGGGGGGGTTGGGGGGGGCGGCGCTGACGTTTAGCTCGTTCCCAGATCAAAGAGACAGCTGAGACACCAAGTGGGCAGGAAGCGCACAGCACTGAAGAAACCAGCACCCTGTACTGTGTTGGGCTTGAAGAAACACCTAAGCGCTCTCTTTTCAACTCAAATTTACCCTCTTTCCCAAGGCTTTTAGGTGTGTGTGTGACCGGCTACTAGTCACTCTCATTCAGTGGCAGAGTGGGGGAGTGCAGCTACCTTCTCAATAAGGTGAATGCCATTTCCAGGTGGCCATAAAATCTTCTGCTTCCCTATATGTCCTGTGAGCTGGAACGATGGTGACAGTAATCTTAACTACCGTGGAAGCCAATTGTTGAACGGGGCAGAACCATATCAGCCCAGTCCCTGGTGGCCAACATAGGGTAGCACATCCTCCCCTGCTTCAACCTCAAAAAATTGGAATAGCTCTCTGGACTGTGCGTTGAGAAAGAAATAAGCAGCTGTTGTGTCTGGATGATAATCTTTTGTATCTACTTGCTGCATCAGCTTAGCCCGACCTAAGGTGATCTCAAAGAACCCCATCTTCCCTAACCATTAGACTGTATAACTGGCTACTCAACAGTTCTTACCTATGCAACTTGACAACTAGATAGACATTTAAATGAAAGGTTACATAATCACAAACTTTTGGAGGCGTCAGGCTCTGCTAAGCTGGCCCTCCATTTGAAATTAAAGGCCAATGTGGAAATTCACTCCACAAAAGTTTGCCCATCGAGGACCTCCTGAAATAGACCAACTACTTAAAAAAAAAAAGAAACTATGAAGAGAAAAGGTGAATGCTGTCCTTGTCCTGGAGCATGGAGCATGCAGCAGAGAGCTAGCAAACTGTATCTTTGAACAACACCCTATCATCCGAGCAGCTCAGTTGAGATCTCTGAGCACCCCTGTTTAATTCTGACTAAAGCTGTTATCAGAAACTGGCTGAGCTTGGAACAGGGCTTCCAGGTGCTTGGCCCTGAGCAGTCCTTGATGCTGTACTCACCACAGAGCCAAGGATATGCTTCAGGTGGCCTTCTAAGAGCAATAGTATTTTGTATTGGGCTTTAAAAAAATCAATTGAACTCAGTGACCAAACAGGTTCTTGCCCACAAAGCTCCTTGGGAAATGGCGATGTGGTACTGTTGGACGGGCAAGAAAGCAAAGCTTAGACACGGGATGAGGAATCATGCTACTTCCTACTCTTAGAGTATGCTTCCCAGGTTCCTGCAATGTCTAAGTTAAGTGACATGGCTAACAGAGAAATGACAGAAAATTCTGTGGGTAGAAATGCTAGGAGGAACCTAGACTAGGGAAGACTAACCCTCAGCTAGGTGCAAAGACAATGAATCCTCGAGGATGTCCTCAAAGATTCCACCAGAACACACATGTAGAGTCTGTGTTGGCATGTGGCATGGGTGATCTTGATGTGTAGTCTCTTCTCCCAGTTCCCAATGGAATGTTCCTTGACAGTGCCTCTTCCCAACATTTTTTTTACTGCTTTTCTCATGGTGGCCAGTGGAGAAGCATGGCTTTCCTCCAACAGAGGACATCTTGCCTAATTAAAGCACATCCCTGCCCCCCATCCAAACTATCCCCATCTCTGTGACCCAGAAGCTTCACTAGACTAGAGGGGACTCTTCCCCTTTTCCTGGAAATTGTCTTAAGTGACAATAGGATAGTCTAGTTTCATCCTCACTGAGACTGTCTCCAAGACAACCAAGGGAGCTGCTACTATTGGACCCATAGACAGGTTTAGCAGGTAACTAGGCACGGCTATCCAACATCATTGTAAAGATATTCAAGATCTAGGGGTGTGAAGACATCGCCCTGGCAGCTCTCACCCTTTATGGCCCCCAGGTTCCAATCATAACTTTGATTACCTTGTCGAGAAGGTGGATTTGGTGAATTGAAGCATCCTGACTTTGCTGAGCTTCAGTAGTGGTTCAGGTGTGATAGTTTAAGGCAGAGGCCTGCATTGTTGTTCCTAACAAAGGGGAGAGAATCCTAGAGAGACAGAGGTGAGAGGAAGGCATGGTAGTAGTCAGAAGAGGAGCACAGGTGATATTTTGACACACGGGCCTACACACACACACACACACACACACACACACACACACACACACACACACGCACGCACGCACGCACGCACACACGCAAGCATGCACACACAGCTGAAACGATGATCAAGCATAGAACCCACTGTTTTACATGACTGGGATATCTGGGGAGAAGATGTGCGGCTGTGTTTCTCAATTCTAAACACATGGATCAGTAATTCTAGCAGAAGGCTAAAACCAGCAGACAGTAAGAGCCCCTTCCCTGATTTGGCCAGAATCCAAAGGTGTGCTTTGGCATTTGAAAATCTGTAATCTGGAGCAAAGGGATATGGTTCACCAGCCTCAGAAACCAAGTGCCAGGACTGGCAGGAGGGACTGGCTCAGGGGACCGAGAGTTTCCTGGGCAGCAGCTTCACTGATGACATTGTGTGGGCTCCTCCACGTAACTATTCTGGGAAGTGTTACATTGCAATAAAGCAAATACATTCAAAGCACATACTGGAAATGAGATGCAAATGAATGTCCAGAAGACACTGGGGCTGAATGAAGTCTTTCTCGGTGTCTGTACCCTGGTGAAATCAGACACCTGAGCCCTGAGATGTTAACTGGTCTCTCAGAACCTTTGTTGCACCTAGACTTTCCAGGCCATAAGCCAGGCTGCCTCTGCCTGTCCATCTGTCTGACAGCCCACCTCCTTGACTCTTCACAGCATTCTCCTCTTGATGAAAGATGGCTCTTGCTTCCATGCAACCTGCTTTATGCTGCAGGTATCATCTAAGTAGAAGGAGCTAGCCCCAGCTCCAAAGACTAGTGATAAGAGCCGGAGAAACTCCAGACATTCTGGTCTATTAGCAGATACTGAAGAGAATCATCCTTGCCTAAGAACAAGGAAAGTGTTGGGGAGAAAGGTGGTCTGTAGCACAAAGAGAGCAACATTCTACCCAGATGACGTGGGAGAATGAAAGATTCCCAGAGTCATCCTCACACCATTAAAACAAGCCCAAGAATGTGAAATCCACATGAGCAGGGCTTTTGCTCTTTAGATTTGTCTGTTTGGGGGAGGGGAGGGGCTGGTGCATCCATGGTGTCCAACATTGGAGCTGACACATATAATAGATGCTCAAGTAAATATTTGTGAAATGAATGGATGAATAGATGAGCTTCTTAAAAACAAAGGTGACCTATGGAAATGAGGAGGCAACATGCTAGCAAAACTACCCAGGCCAGTTCCCCAAAAGACCCGGTGGCTCATTTCCAATGGGTATGCTCTTCCCAGGATGCTGTGGGAGGACCAGAGAAGGCAAGAGGTATCCATCCAACATTCCCAATGGCAGAAGCCTGGTGTTGTTTTGTTTGTTTGTTTGTTTTTCTCTGTGTCAAAAACTGATAAAAGTCCAAGGCCAAGGAAATTTTTAGACAAAAAGAACATAAGTGCCAGGGACCATAAGTCAGCAAGATCTACCTTCTTGGATCTTCTTGGGTCTGCTAGGATTTCCAGGCCCCTTCAGTACTCCTCTCCCCTGGGCTGGCCCTGTCTGGCAGGTGATGAGGGGCAGAAAAGAGACTCTCAGGGTGACAACTCATGTGCCATCCTCTGCTCTCAGCCCAGGACACCTGCCATCTGCCATTTCCTTGAGCTCTGCTGCACTTTCCCAGCCGGTGCATCTGGGAAACTGGTGAGAAACTGCCAAGCTAGCCTGGGCCAGGAGAAGGTGCTAAAATTGCTACTTCTAGAAACGGCCTACCAGGCAGGTGAAACTGTCCATTGGAGTCAATAATGAAAAGAGGGCAAGACATTAAAAAAAAGGCAAATAAAAACTATCATTTTAAAGTCATCAAAGAGAGAAGAAGGTATTGCTGGGCAAAGGCAGTCACAGAGAAGAAAAACCAGAAGAATTAACCCAGGTCTCCATGCTGTTTTTTGTCACTGATGGATCCAGGAGGATCAGCTTAGACCCTTAGACCTTCTGATCGGTTCATAGACAAGAGTCACAGTCCAGGAGCACAGCCTCCCTGAAGGGTCACTCACTCAGAATAAATAAGGGCAACCCAGAGTCAATTAAACGAACCCTTGTCCAACTTGCAGTTCACATTCGTGCTGCCTCAGAAAATATCAGGTGCTAAGTTGTACTGCGGGGGATCCAGGTGTGCTAGTGCCACCCTGACACTATTTGTCAGAACAGAGAAACACTTTATCTGAGAGAAGATGGCCTTGAGTGATCCCTACAAAGTCAACCACTCTGTAAGCCCTTCCTTACCAGGAACTCCTAGATTTCCCTCACTTACAAAATTCTTTTTTAAAAAATCACAAAAGTTGCCCCACAGGGATATTGATGCTGTCTGGACCACAGGGTAAAACTCTCCAAACTCTGACCGGTCCTCACTCTCCACTTCTCTGGAGATGAAACTGGATCCAGATGAAGATAAGGAGTCAGTTATGTCTGCGCTAGATGCTGCTTCTTGCTAAGTGAAGTAAATAAGGAATATTCCAGTGGACCCATTCAAAGCCCCCACACTTTTACTGTAGGGAACTATAATGCTCTCTTAACCTCTGAGGAACTATAATGCTCTCTTAACATTGGGGAGCCCATTCCCCAGGAGGGACTCGGAAACTGGGAAACTAGCTCCATGCTCTTTGTTAGGACAGTTTCCCCTGTGACGTACTCAGAACACCCCATTTCTTAGTTACTTTTTATTTTTTTTGAGCCATGATTTGGTTCTCCATTAGCCCAGCAGTTTTCCTTCTCTGTCTCCTCCAGCTAGCTTCAATGCTGACCACCTCTTGAGCTCTATACAAGGCAGGAGGTGATCACTCCATCATCTTTCCTGGAACTCTCAGCACAACCACAAATTTTTGAGGGGTTTGTTTGTTTCTTAGCGACTTGATGCCTGTGTTTTGCGTAGCAAAATCCCTGCAAAAGCAGAAACCAAGACTTGCTTTATGGTCCCAGGTGTTCAGTTTCTAGACCAGTGCCTGGCATGGAATAGGACTCGGAGCCCACTTCTGGGGAGTGGATGCAGTCACATCCCCTCCCCTACTGCTCCTGAAGTGCCTGGCTCCGGTTCCTTCTAGAATGTCGGGGGGGGGGGCTCTCCTTGCTTCACTTTCCTCTTCTTTTGTCTCCTCCTTTTGTACAAGAGCTCCACCTCTAACAACAAAGCAATAAGTAACTAGACTTGACCTCTCTGCAAGTGTTCCCGAAGTCCCACCAAAGCAAACCTCTCACAACTGTGTTACAGATGTGAGCCTTGGCTTTTTGCTGCTCAAGTGCAAGAAGATCCAGGCAGAAAAAGGAAGGAAGCTTCTTTGCCCACCCCAAACCTGCATTGAGTGGTCACTGCAGGCATGTGACCAAGCATGTATGAACTGCAGGCATGTGACCATGCGAACTACAGGCGTGTGACCAAGCGTATGCGAACTATCTGAATACCTGGCCCCTTTCCAGACAAACAATGCTATTTGTTTAAATATGATTACCTGGCCCCTTTCCAGACAAACAATACTATTTGTTTAAATATACGTACCTGGCTCCTTTCCAGACAAACAATACTATTTGTTTAAATATGCATACACGGGATTTGGCCAGGGTTTAGGGAGGGTCACCAGAGCCTGACCCGGCCCATGTGGAGCCTGAAAGGAGAGGAGTTAACTGCACTCAAGGAGGGAAAGAGGGTGGCATTATTTTAATCTTTTTATGGGGGAGGGGGAGCTCAAGGAGTCATTGAGGAAAGTAAAATAAAGGCAAGCAAAAAGAGCTGAGTGTACAAACAGGAAGACGGACGCTGACCTAGAACAGAGGGGCCCATCCGTTGGCAACTCGCCAGGAAAAATATTTAGAAAATCAGAAGTCCTAAGACATGCTTGTGAACATGTGTGTGTCTGCCATACACAGGGTGGTTGTCCCCAGAACACCCTGCCAAACTTCCACAAAATCAAATCATTAATGCGCAAGCACGGCATCTTAATCCCAGAACAACTCGGTAAACAGAGCTGGGATCACGGAGGCTGATGCCGGCAGGTTCAAAGGATCCCATGATTCCAAACCCTTCGGCCTCCAAAGACATCTTGCCAAGTGGAATTGAATCTGAGTTCCCCAAACCCTAAACTCCCAAGGAAACTTGACCCCCCAGTGGGGAACATCACCACTTCAAAGGGGCACTGGCCTTAAACATTGACCTTGGAGAAACCCAAGCAGAGGGCATGTGGCATGTTCAGGAACAAACAAGGTTAGTGGCCTGGAGACAAAAGGCTGTGGGTAAGGCAGGTGGAGCCTGAGGCAGGCTTTAGAGTCTTCCTAAGCTACAGCACATAGTTTAGACAATGGGGAGTCATTGGCTATTTATCACCCATTTGCTGAGAATATGTCTCAGGAAATGGTCCCCGAGGGCCTCCAAAGCTGAGAACCCAGGTAAAGGATTCTGGAGGAACACCTCGGGCACAGAGGACCTGGACAGGAATAGGGTGCTTGAGAAGGAAAAGCACCGAGTCAATGGCTGGAAAAAGTAATAGAAGTCAGGGAGCAAATAAGGGGCCCATGAAGGACAAGGCAGGGGGGGGAATCGAAGATGATGTAGACAATGTGTGAGAAGCAGGACCCCAAGAGTCCCCAAAAGAAGCAAAGGAATTAGGGTGCATCCATTGGGAGTAAAAATCTCAGATGAGCTCATGTAACAAGCAGTGGTTTTCTTTTAAAAAGAAAAAAGTAATGTAAATATTTTACTATAAAATTATTTTACAATTTAAACTTTTATTTCAGAAATGTATTCACATCCACAATTTTTAAAAAGTCCTTTCCAAGAATTCATTGCATAAGAAATACACTACCGCAATGTTGGGGAGCGGCTAGGTCTCCTTTCGGTCCAGAGTGTCTCCTCATTTCTCCATTTCCTAAGGCTTATATGCTCATATATGCCTGGCCAGTGATGGACACCTGACTCCCAAAGTGGCAGACCTCAGCATCACCTTAAAAGACAGGACAGATGGACAAAGGGCCACATGCTGACTAAGAAAACACGCTGATCAAGCTTAAGCACAATTGAAAAGTTACATAAAGTGGGAGACCATGTCAAAAATGTAAACAAAAAAGAATTCACTATTAATTCCTTCCTGAAAGACAAGAAGGAATCACTTCGAAGCTTATTAAAACAAGACCTGCTAGGTCAGACAGACAGGTTGCTGGGTTTTGTTAGGTGAAGGGAATCTTGGCCAGGTTTTCCTGAGCTAAAATGTACCAAGAATCTGCCAATAGTTGAGTTGACTGATTCATCACACTTAAGGCTGATGCCACCCTCAAATGTTTCTTAAGATTCAAAATAGTCACCAGACAAGCTTTGAACTGCATGCAGGTAACAACAAAAGTCAATATTGCAAGAAGACAAGGTAAAACTGAACTTGTCTTAAAATGATGGCTTGAAATGCACTCCCACAAAGTGGAAGACCACACGCATCTGTAGTCCGTTCTCACTTAGGCAGGAAACGTGCAGTCCTTTCTAATAACATTTACAGCCACCCAAGGGAAATTCCAAAGGATGTATGTGTCACTCGGGTTTGCTGGCCCATTTACTTCACCTTTTGGTTTGGGGAAGGGCTTTTGCAAGCTATCCATTGATGGGGGTCTGGAAGACTAAATTCCCTCTACTCTACAGAAAATGGCACTTGAATTTGTTTTATTGTGTACTTCTAAAGGGATGGGGGGGTGAGAAAAAGTCTTAAGTCATAACTGAAAATATTTTGCAGAATATGGCAAGCTGTTCATTTACACACACTAGTGAATCAAAGTGGAAACAATAGCAAAAGGATTTGCAAGCCTAATTTCAACTTTTAAAATGCTTCGGTGACAAATATATTTGGGAAAGGGTAGCTGTAACACGAAGATGACACAAATCTGTTTTTCAAGGGCAAGTGGTACAGCCCTGTTTTGAGTGAAATTAAATGATAATTTCTGTCAGAGGCCATGAGAGCTAAAACCAAAGCAGGACGCCATGCTATAGCAAACCCTATGTGCAGCAGGCACAGCACTTAACCGAGTTCTGAGAAACGTGTTCATGCTAAGGCTTAAGAGTGATGGAGACACACAAAAAGTTTTAAAAGGAAAAGGGTTCTCAAAAACTTAAAGAAATAAGACAAAGTTTCAACCTTTCTAAAGTATGGGTTTGAGAACGAAAAGTATCAGTTTATGACAGTTTTCACAGGAGAGTAAATAAAAACTTCTCCATAGCTGAATTTCTTGAGGAAAAAAATCTCTTTTCTTCTGAACCCAGGGAGAAAACTTGGAGCCCATACTCTCAAGGCTTTCATGGCCGCTGTGGGCCGTCTACCTCCTTCACCCTTCCCACGAAACACAGTACTCTGAGAAGGAACGGCAGGAAACCTGTTCATGGCGCACAGCTCTCTGAAACACCTCCTCATACACTGGTCTCAACTCTTCATACAGAACATGTGCAGCCTTGCTTTCCATGTAGAACTTCCCGTCTTAGAGAACGTGTATGTGCGAGCACTGAGGACATCAACCTGTGCTTTCCAGGTTGGAAGGCAGGCTGATAACGTCACAATTTAGATACTGCTCACTGGCAGTTTGGTGGACAAGAGATTTCATGGTAACTGACAAGGCAAAGCTAAATGAACTGTGAATAGCTGAGTGATGGCTTGTACCTTGCCAAAATACGGCAGCTCCTTTGCTCCCTGGCCGCACACCTTCCGTGCGAGCTAGACATTCCTCCTGCTTTATTTATAGTTGTCTGGACACCAGATCCCAATTCCTGAGTAAGAATATTAAAAAGTGACCTTCTATCAAATGTATAAAGACAAAACGCTGACTCACAATACAAATGCCCTACATAACATTATAGGTGCACGACTGATGCCTGCACCTCTCCACTATGATTGGCCAGACTGCAGCAAGATTAGTCTAGGAACTGCGGTTAAATGCTCCAGACCCTAAATATATCTACTGTGTTGCTAGGGAACCGCTGAGCCAAGTCTATCACCTGCACTTCTTTCTACTACTGCGATCTCCCGGCCACTGGCAGGAAGGCGGTACAACGCTTTCTCCAGCCGGAAACGCACATTTCCATTTAAATGCTCCTAGAACATGTTTTTCCACCCGTTTTCTTGCTCCAGAGTTTCAGCTTTCAATGAAGTCTGAATATGGCGCTTATCTGAGCTCAACTTTCTGTGCCCAGAATACACTTTGGTTATGTTTTTGCCTACTGACAGCCCAGCAGGCTTGCTGGGGAGCTGGACTCCAGTTCCTCCACTTGGGGCTGAGGTGGGCTTCCAGAAACCAACTCTGGTAAGCGTGGCTCAGAGTTAAGTTGCTTCTGATTTGCAAACCCCTGGAGAACCGTCTTGGTCTTCTGAATGCCAGAGGCAACTGCATCTGTTCTTAAGCAGAACCCGTTATGGAAAAACTTGGAAATGCTGTCCTTCTATGCTGCTTTTGTTAAATTTTCCTCCATAGTGCTGGTTTTGTGTCTCTCAGCCGTCAGAGCAGGCACGATCCGACCCGCCCTGGTGCGGACCACCAGGAGCCCGGTCCTCTCCATCAGTGGGTGCTTGCTAAGCTGCCGAGGAATTTTCTCTGATGGAGGAACAAAGGGGTCCTAGCTCTTCTGCCCTATCCATTATACGGGGTCTATTAACTTGAGAGTCACATTTTTCCGTTTTCTGTGTGCGTCGTTCCATGCGGTTAGGGGGAACCAGGTTCGGTAGTATTTGGGCGGGTGTTTCTGCAGCTCCAAAGGAACAACATCGACACGAGGACGACGAAGACGACGACGACGACAATGGTCAGTGGGGGAAAGTTACCGACCAGCCACCGTAACTGCTTCAGAGCGCTGTGTCACCTGGATGTCGGGAGTATCGCTGGGAGATAATGCAGCCAGCCCCCTGACCGAAAGGCAGCACACAGCCTCTGAGCAGGTGCTGAACCGCAGGCTTGGTGGCCATTGGAGCGGTACGGGGCCACACTCAGCATCAAGCTTCAGAAACGGCTTTCTTGACCTTCACAATGCTCTTCTGAAATGCTAGCTTCTTCTTTCCGGGCTTGGGCTAACTGAAGACTCTTGTCTGGTTTGCACACAGAAGTGTAGCACCCGAGTCCAGCAGACACTCGGGGGGGGGGGGGCTGGTGTAACCCCTGTGTGAGGGAGACTCTGCCTGGGCACCCCACCATGTGCCTGCCCTTTGCCGACTCTCCAGGTTCGCCCTGCTGCTGTCCTGGTTCTGTTCCAATTCTACCAGCTTCCTAACTCCCATTTTCCTTTGTACCAATGAGTCTTCCACCTACAAAAGGAGCCCTTTGGCAGTTGGGTTACTTCCGCATGATCAAAAGGCTGAAGTGCCCACGTGTATTTTCATTTCCCGGGGACGCACACAGTCTTTCCCCACCCTTTTGGACTAGCCTCATAAGGCTTCACGTTGGCTTTCGAAGTCTGAGCTTGTCGCTTTTCTAAGGTTGCAGTTGAATGCTTCTCTTTCTCTCCTCTGCATCTGTCTTCCGGGACCGAGTCTGTGTCCCTGCTTGGCTAGTTTCCAAATGCTTTGCTTGCATCCATTTTCTCTGGGCCCCACTTTCTCTAGCTCAGACTGAACTAGCTCCAGCATTTCCCAACATGCCTTTATGACCTAACTCTTCCCTGCCAAGCCCTGGTCTATTCAGACTGAGCCAGCTACTTAGGAAGCCATCAGTAAGCGGTTTTCCTTGTGACTTGTTCCAGGCCTAGGCCACACTTAGTGGAAAGGACTCTAAGGCAAGGCTCCTTTGTCACACAACCCCCCTGACAAGGCAAGTGGGCCCTGCAAGGGCACACATGGCCTTCTCCAAGGTCTGGGGAAACCCCCTCTTTTCTTAATCAGTTTTCCCTGCCTGTAGGTTGGGGTGAAGGAAAGTCTGTAGTACTTTTTGAAGTCTTTGACTACTCCTCAGAAACCCAAGCAAACATCTTCGTGGCAGGGGAAGGGTTAACTGTCATCCTACCAGGTTAGGTAACCCTTCCTCAGATTTCATCCTGAAAATCCAGTTCCTCGAGACAGATTGGGTCCCCTGAGACTGAGGAGGGATCTGTTCTCCACTCAGTTGCCTGCTGCTCTCTAGGGTGGATGACACACTCCCACAGGCCTTCTGGCCTCAGGTCTCTGGGATGGTATTTGGAGTCACATGTGTGACTCTCCATCATCTTTGCCTGGTCCCATGATTTTGATTTCAGGAAGTGTCATGGTATCTGAGAGTGCCAGGGACTCCCGGGGTTGGGTGGGGTGTGGGGGTGTAATTGATGATACCAGGGTTGTGGCCCATGCTTGCAAGGATAGAGCACAGAAAGGCAAAAGGCAGTGTTGAAACACGGTGTTGGAGAAAAGGCAACCTAGAAATGCCCCCCTCTCAAGATGAGGCCCTTGGATTAGGACCGCCAGGGCCTCGTGGGAGTGGGCCGGAATACTGTCTTTGGGACTGCACACACACTGAAACAGCATACCACGTGACAGGGAAGACTCCTGTGGTTAGTGCTCAGGATCTTGTGTGGCCTTGGCCTCTGGGGGGTGGGGGGACAGGTGACTCCTGGAAGCCCCACTCAGCTGAATATTGGTGTCCACTGACTTAGCTCCTCTTTCAGTGGCCTCTCAGACCCTCTCACCGGGCATATGACACTACGGCCTCCTCCTCCCTCAGCTCCAGAGTGCCATCCCAGGCTCCCCGGACTGAGAAACATGTAGCCAAAGCCTCCCACCCTCCGCCCCAGCAGAAGTTGAAACTGTCCTAGCCATCCAGTTGGGGTCAACCACCCCACCACAAACAGTGGCCCCTTGCCCCTTAAGGGTGAAGTTCAAGGCTTCCAGATTCCTGGGACTCTTGGTCACTTGACCAAAGAAACATTTATTCATTTAAAAGTGCACTGTGTTTTGAACCTGTAACATTTTTTACACATCTGAACCCAAACCCATTTTCCTTCCTGATGTATGAAGTTGCGTACTATTTCAGTCTGTTGACAGATGAATGGCTGTTGACTCCTGCCCCCATATCCTCCCCTGTATCAGAAGGGGAGCCCTAAGACCCAGGTACCCCGGGGAGAGTGAAGAGAAACACAGGTCCCCAGGCCAGGTGGCCTAGGCTTAGAGAGGGTTTTCTCTCCTGGGGTGGAAACAGTTGGAATTCATATAAACTCTCTGAGCTTCAGAGTCCACCAGGGTAGAAAAAAAAAAAACAGAACTAGCTCTTATATCTCAAACACCCACACTACAAATTCCCAGGAGGCCATTGTGCCCAGCAGGGCCCAGTCAGGTAGCCACTGCAACGTGGACCTTTCTGCATTCTAGGACCTCATCCTAAGGATAACCATGCACATGTTAGAGACAAGATGCAGCAGCCTTAAACACAAAACTCTAATAGAAAGTAGTCTGTGACATGGGCACTGGGCAGATACCTGGGCACAAACCAAATTGGATCTGAACCTGTTACGACAGCTGTTTAGAGATGGGTTAAGGAGCAGCTGGGCTCCTAGGGGCTGTGACAGGTGAGAGGAGGCTAGGTGGCGGTGGCGGGGTTGAAAGCTTCCCTCTCCTCTTGGAGTCCTCATCTGACAGGTTCCACGTGGACACTGGCTGCCTCTCACGGGCCTTGCCCATTGTCGTCGGCACAGTCACTGAGCTGCTCTCTCCCAGGAGAAGGAGAGAGCACAGGTTCAGAGCTGGTCCACTGTTCCATCCTGGCGGCCGCTGGCCGAGGTGGGCAGTCCATGTCCCCTGGGTGTGCAAACGTAGAGACGGGTCACCTCCCCACTTGTCTCATACCTCCTTCGTTTTTCAGACTGGAAGAGAGGAGGCCTCCTGGGAGCCACAGCCCAGGTCCTCACCCCTTGTGCAGGAGGCCTTTCTTGTCCTGAGCTCTTGGTGACACCGGTTAGAACCAGCCTCCAAAGTACAGTTGGAAGCCGCCCCCCCCCACTTTAAACATTTATGAACATGGAAGAATACACACTCTTATGAGGTGGGAGGAAAAAAAGAAACAGATCATGTGATCCAATTCTCAAGTGAAAAAGAGGCCAGGGCAAAAAATACAAAAGTCCCAAAGGTCGTTTGCCGCGGCAGAGCTGATCAGTCACCGGTCAGTCCCTGAAGCCCTCATGCCTCTATTCTAATACTTTATTCTCTGTTGTCTCTGGCAGGGGAATGTTTCAGGTGCATTTCCTCCACTTCCTCTACATACTGGGACACATTACCTGATAGTCAGTCTTTAAGTGCTCATTTAAGAACAATGTAATATAAACATGAAATGCGGCTACCTCATAAACGAGAGCGGGATTCCCACATCTTAACTCCCCAGGCCAGCCAGTTCCTTGACCACGCCCATTTGACTCATAGTAGCTGGCATGCACACTCAATGGGCATTTTAAAATTCTGGGTAGGAGGGAAATGAAGGCACAACATTCCCAGGGGGGAAACATCCGAATACCACTGATCATCGTTATCATCTGGATAGCTTATTTTGCCTTCTCTATATATTATTCATTGTCCAAAATTTGGTCAACAAAAAGACTACTTTTTGGTCAGAACCTTTTGACCAAAGTTCTCCTATGTAAACTAGCCTCAAATGGTTTCTCTTCACATCAAGCTGACTCCCATGTTACTAACCCTGGGAGCACCACGACTCGATGGTGTCTGCAATAGTGGTCAGTATACAACTTCCAGAACAATGTGGGGACACACTACCTGATAAGTCTTCAAATGTCCATTTAAAAAAAATGAGGCTGAGTGTTTGAAATGCTGGTTCCTCACAAATCTGAGGAGTCCCAGTTCTAATTCCCATTTGTAGGGAGACGACAGCAGAGCTGACAGCGAGGGCTGTTTCCACCCAGAGGCAGTTATTCTGACAGTGCTTACAATAAGGAAAGCAGGAGATGTGTACAACAGGAAGACACTTGACTTGTGCAATGTTCCTCTGGGCCCAGCTTGGCTCCTCCCGGGCAGGGCCCACTGTGCTCCTTCTAGAAACAGGATATGAACTGCAGCGCCCCCTACCTCAAGCTCCCTCCTTTCCCTTCATCCAGGACAACCCCTGCCCCGCTTTCCCGGGCAACAATCACTACGAACTTCAAGCTTCTTGCTGCACAGACGGACAGCTGCCTTGGGAGACCACCCCCTCACCCCCACCCCCACCTATCCAGCACTCTGTGGAAGTCTGGAATTGTTCCATGGACCTGGTCAGCCCACCCCTGTGCATGCCTGGCTCCTGACCTTGGGCAGAAGCTAGTCTTGGGTCGGGACACAACACTGTGCACAGCGCCCAGGCCTTCAAGGGCAAGCATCTAACTAGGCTAGCAGGAGTTCTGGGAAAAATCATTACCAAAGCTTAGGTTTTCTCACTTGAAAGTGGAAAAACACAGTTAAGTAACTGGCAGTGTCAAAATGTACCCTAGAAGTCACTAACCCATCCAGTTCACAATACCCAGGCTAGACAAACTGATTTCTCTGTTACAGACAAGGAGGGAGGCTCACAGAGGTCAAGAGATGCATGTAAGGTCACACAAGGTGGCAAGCCTTAGAGCCTGTTGAGTCTTGCCCAGAGAGTCTGCCTTCCCAGTCCCTGGCCTAGCTCACTGCAAATGAGCCTCCCTATCATCCATGTAAAGTTCTTCCTGTGTTGCCTGAAATACAGTAAAAGCTCAATAAGCAGAAGATGGCACACCCATAATGCCAGGGTACAGGTGCCTGACTCAAGCAGACGCCAGTCACAACATGGCTCTTGTATGGAGTTCTCCTCCTCCGACTCCAACAGCCTTAAACCCAGGTGTGAACACACTGTCCACCTGGATAGTCCAGTAGACCCACCCACTGCGTCTGTACAACAATGCTAGTCTCATTTGTTAGCCACCCATCCCCCCACCTCCCACCCACACCCCGCCAGTCACTCCTCCCTGCCAGTGTCT